ACCCGAAAGGAGAAGACAGAAGAGGAGAGAAAGAAAGCAAAAAAACAAAAAAACGAAACCAGGAAAATCATTCAAAGGTGTTAAACCATCGATGGCAAATGGTGAATCCAGGTATGGGCGTTTCGGGAAAAGAGGTGGCAGGATGAAGGTAAAAAGGTCCAACTTTATATATAGAGAGTACAAAGCATGAGGGTAGAAATTCATCGGAAATGGAAGGATGGGAAATGGGGGGAAGAAAAAGAGGGTTGACCTGAAGGTTTTTTTTCTTTTTCATAGATTAAATCCACAAAGATAAAGAACAAAAAAATAGCAGCTTTTTTTTTTCCTGTACAGACATATAGATGAGTATCTGAACTGTAAAAAAGTTATAAAAGTGACACAAAAAGACAAATGTGTATGCAAATGAGCCATGGTCTAACATAGAACTGCAAGACCCCTTGAAGTCTTAATAACAGAGGGAGGGAAAAAAAGTCATCGAAGAGTTGGAGGCCTGAATCTGGTTTAATTGCCCATTCTTCTCCCGTTTCTTTTTCCTTTTAGCGTTTCTCTAAGTTTCTTTTCTTTTCTTTTTTTCATTTTAATTCTTTTTTTTTCCCCCTGCAAGCCTGCCAAAGACTAGAAGAAACAACTCATGGCAACGCTTCCTGTTTTGTCTTGTCTGCATTTCCATTCTGGAGGGCTGGGTTGAAATTTCTGCACAGGGAGCATCTCTTCCTTCCCCTCGTTGCTCTGATCCTCCAGGCCAGTTGTATCCAGAATGAGCGGGCGAGGTGGCTAACTCAACCCCATCCCCTTAGGTTCTGCACCGTGTTTCTTTTTTATTTAAGAAGAGAGAGAGAGAGAGAGAGAGAAAACAGTTTTTTGTCCAGTCAAAATAGTAATAATAATAATTTTCTAAAAACGCCAGTGTGTACGATACATTATGGGAGTGTATTGGTCTGCATTTTGTTTCGATGGGGCGCGTGATGAAATAAAACTAAACAAAAACAAGGAAAACTCTAAAAGGAAGTTCTCTCTCTCTCTCTCTCTCTCTCTCTCTCTCTCTCTCTCTCTCTCTCTCTTTTGGCAAAGTTTGGCAGCGCTGGAAAAAGTTATATATCTTTTGTGCGATCCTAGAAAGTTTAAGGAATCATAGTAAAAAATAATAATATCCAGTCTTCTCTCTCTTTTTGTAACAACCTATAGAGTGTCAGGCAGGGAAAGGAAGTAGAGAGCTGCTGGCCTGTCGTGTTTTGTTTTTTTTCTCAAGATGTAAAACTTTAAGAAACGGAAAAGAAAAAAAGGGTCATTGAGTTGAACTTCACACAGACATGTTTCCCATCATGAAGCAGAAAGAAAGGAGAGGAAAAAGGGGAAACACACATCAGATTCTCAAGTTTGTTTGTTGTTTTCTGTTGCTATTGAGTGTTAATATTCAAAGTTTTTTGTTTTTTTTTAGAAGGCTGACTGTGCCCCACGTACAGAGAGAGTTCTGCTGCTCGGAACCGATCTCCTGCTTGCATATTGAAACAAAAAAAGAGGAAAAAAAAATTAAAAGTCATTTCGACTTCGGATTCGAAGAGAGGATTCTCCTGTGTGCAGTTAATGAACAGTTCTTGAAGATCCACTGAGGTACAGTCGGCTTTTGAATATATTGTTATTTTTCTCGCTTGCTCTCTCGCCTTCCTCCCAGCTCAACCCCCTTCCGATACACGAGCCGCGTTATTTCTGCATTTGCAAAACAAGAAAAGGAAACAAAACGAAAAAAAAAAAAAACCAACAACCCAACAACCTGTTTCTCAAGGTCAGCAGGCTGAAGACTGGGGTAAAGGCAAGGCCCGCTCATTCTTCCGTCCTCCATTCATGTGGGCATAGGACTGCCTCTCCTCAAAGCTGGCCCGAAGGACCATCACGCCTGGGCCGTTCTCGGCTTTGTGTCCTGAGTGTTTGTCAGAAGGCTGGAGGGTAGAGGAAGGATCTAAAGGAATGCTCTCCATGTTCTCCGTCTCCAAGTCAAGCTCTTCCGTGTCGGGAGGCTTGTTCTCGTCGCTGTAGAAGAAGGAGACCTCTTTGAAGGCTGGGTCCAGCTCGTCCTTGATGCTGCCGATGATCTCCAGGAAAGAAGGGCGCATCTTGGGGTTGTACTGCCAGCACATGCGCATCAGTTCGAAGCTGGGAAACAGAAGAGAGGACAGCGGACATGGTCTCATTTGAGAAGGACTTGGTGTCAACTCATAAAATATTTCTATGGTCTTTTTAGAGTTGCCAACAGAAAGGGAGGAGCGCAGCAGCTTGCAAAACCGAAAGCGCATTCCACAAATGTTTTCAAAGATAGTAACTAGGGGACCAAAGTTTCTGCCCAGCAAAATTCTAACTGGAGAGCATGATTGGTGAGTCTGGGCTATGGATGTGTCCCATTGGAGAATGTGAATTACCATACACCCTGGGGGAAAACCAGGGCCAAGGGTGACAATGAATGATGTGTCTCAGAGTCGGCTACACCCAGGCAATGCCAGACATGTTAACTCCCAATAAATCCTTTTGAAGTTTTGGAAGTTTGGCTCGAGACTCATGATTTAAATGGGGGTAATTGCAGGAATCCTGACACTTGGGTTTAGCTCTTGATCAGCAAAAAACTATGTCCCAAAGGTGGGACAAAAAACTATGTCCCAAAGGTGCTTTTTCAAGAGGCAACTAGACAGTGGTGGGTTTCCAAATTGTTTCCTGCCAGTTCTATGCGTGGTTCTATGGCATGCACGCTTCATGCGTGCACACGGAGGGGCCAAAGACCGACTTCTGTCAACGTTGGTAAGCTAAGCTGTTTTTTTTTAGCTCAGCTGAGGCGCGGCAATCCTCTCTGCCATGTGAATCGGCTAAGCTAAAAGAACAAGGGAATATAGGAGAGGTAACGGCGGAGGCAGCAGGCTGGGGCCAATCAGAGGTGGTATTTTACCAGTTCTCCAAACTAGTCAAAATTTCCGCTACTGGTACGGCAGAACCGGTCCGAATCGGCTGAATACCACCTCTGCAATTGGACTTCCTGCTCTTTCTTTGAAGTCGTTTCATTTCTCATCCAAGAATCTTCTTCAGCTTCTTGGATGAGAAGCAAAACATCTTTAAAAGAAAAAAACCTAGGAAGTCCAGTTGCCTCCTGAAAAAAAGCACTTTTGGGACAACCGTGATCTGGATGTCTGAGAATCTCCACAGACATCAGCAACCGATGTTTGGTTCCAGGACACTTAAGAGGCATTTCATGAGATAGCATGCAAGTAGGGTACACCTTTGCTTTGGGTGGGGAAAGCCAAGACATAGACTCGCACCTTTTAAGACAAAAAGAGATTGTTAAAGTTGACTCCTCATTCCTAAGTAGCTTTGCTTGGTCAGGAACCCCATGGTGGTTGAGAGTTAAGGTAGTCAATGCGCCTTCAGGGCATCTCAGTGAGGAAGGATGCCATCCCTTGCTAACTTCAAACACTGCAGATCAAACTCAAAAATGATCTGGACACCAGAATCAGGATTGCTCTAATTCAAGAAATTGGATACCTACAGGTAGTCCTCAACTTACAATAATTTGTTTAGTGAATCGTTTGAAGTTACGGCAACCCTGGAAAAAAAGGGATTTATGACTCTTTTTTCGTACTTACGGCCACTGCAGTATCCCTTTTTGATCATGTGATTTTGATCACGTGATCCAAATTTGGCTGCTTGGCAATTAATTCATATGTAGGACAGTTACACTGTCCTTTTGGTGACTTATCTGGCTGTGGGGCTACTCCAGGGGGCTTACAACAATAAAAAGGAAGACAAATGATGCAGAACAGAAACAGAAGAGAAGTAAGATAATAATAACACAAGATAGGTAGTTCTTGACATACGACCACAATAGAGCCCAAAATTTCTGCTGGTAAGCGAGATAGTTGTTAAGTGGATTTTTGCCCCATTTTGCGACCTTTCTCACCACAGTTGCTAAGTGAATCTTTGCAATGGTTAAGTTAGTAACACGGTTGTTGAGTGAACCTGTCTTCCCAGTTGATTGCTTCTCAGAAGGTCACAACAAGGGGGTCATACGGGACACTGCAACCGTCATAAATATGAGTCAATTGCCAAGCGCCTGAATTCTGATTACATGACCACGGGGGATGCTGCAATGGTCATAAGTGTGAAAAAACGGTCGTATGTCACTTTTTTTCAGTGCCATTGTCACTGTGAACGGCCACTAAATGAACTGTTGTAAGTTGAGAACTATCTTGTACAATCAACAATGGCAAAGGAATTAGAAATGCCCGTTCCCCAATTTTGGCTTAACACTGCCTTCCGTCTTAAACACAAAACCAGGCTCTGAAGATGTTGGCTTGTACTTCCTCTTCCTCTTTCATTTGCAAACAGCCAGGCTGACCCAACCCAACAAGAAATCTGCCCCTGATCTAACGTAACCGAGATCCATTTCACTGACTTCACACCCGTCGTTTCCCCAGCTGCCTCTTTGTCTCTGTCTAAAAACAACCAGCTGGGACCAAGGACAGGGATGGCAGCAGCTCTCGGGGCCCGAAGGAAGGGAAGGGCCGAGGAGATGCCACCAAGAGAGGCCAGCGGACACCTGTGCCAGCAAGCCCATGTGACCACTTCCTTTGAGGCCATTCCACCAGCTTGCCATAAAAGGAAGTTTCCCTCAGCCGGGGTGGGTTAGGAGACCTTGTCTGACACTCGAACGCTCTTCCAGAAATGGGAGGAAGGGAGAGACGGTTTGTAAACTGAGGGGAGCTACGGGATCACGAGGGAGGAATGAAAAGGCTTCTCTGACGGCATCCTTCCTTTGGCATGCAGTGACGTTTGCGACCAGGAGGAATAACTCGGCTGCTGCCCTTTCTGGTTTCTGGCCAAAGGGGCTGCAAACTCTCTCTC